GTACGCGTTATAGGAGCACGTCTGCAATGCGTGCTCGCACAATCGGTCGACGGCAATCTGCTGGTCGGCTGCTGGGCTGATCGCTTACTATGTACACTATTTACGTACGTTTACGGACGCTAATTGAAAAAAAGATCCATCGCTATGCGAGGATTGCACTTACTGCTGGTGCGTCGCCGTTGCCGTCGGGCGCTAAGAGCGAAGCTGCGTAGGCCGGTCTCTATGTGGCGCTTGTCCAGAGCGAGAATTTGACGGCGGCGGTGCGCTTTCTCTGGCCGCCAACTGGCCACCTGGAGCCGTCGTCGACGCTGCTCGTGCGCTTCGACGTGCCAGTCCGCGCCGACGGCTACATTGCGCTCTCGAGCACGAAACTCAAAGGCCTCTTGCAGGCACAGCCTGATGCTATTGTGCTACAAGACATTGAGCCAGGAACGCACGTCGTCGAGGCGCAAGTCCACGACAAGAACCACGCGCTGTTAGGACCACCCGCCGTCCTGCGCATCGAGCGCGTGCTGTCCAAAGACGAGGCCGACGCGCAGCGCAGTCGTAGTACGAAGCCACGCGTGTGGCTCACAGCGCTGCCAGCCGTCGCAGGACGCCGCCCACGTCGACGCACACTGTGCTTTGTCGGTACGAACGGTCAGTTTGACGGCCAGCGGCAGCTCTGGCTGCACCTCATTCAGGGCCTCGCGCGGCATCCATCAGTAACCTACGCGTTCCACGTACGCTTGCATTGCTGGGATCGAGTCGCTGCATGCACATGTAGATGATTCGCCTCGAAGATGCGTCAACAAGGTTTGATCCGTTTGCAGACATTGGCGTACCCGTCACGTACGCCCCGATGCAAGTCTCGATGGAAGAAGCCGCAACGTACCAGCTCACGACCAACACGACGATGGAGTCGATTGCCGACTACGTTCTCAATGGCAAACCCGACGCGCCCGCGCACATTCCGCGGCTTTGGTCGACGTTTCTCCGCACGTTTGCACCATGTCACGGCGGCATACTGGTCATCGCCAACTCGCGCGACCACGGCGACCGCGTCCTCGCCCTCGTCGCCAAGCACGTGGGCGCTCGCGGCGTTCTCTTTGATCTCTCGAGCGTCTTCCCCGTGGCGAATACCGTCGACGCACTCATTGGACCATCGAGCTACACGCTGGAGCACGACAGCGTGACACGGTCCATCACGGCGAGGCACCGCCATGTCATTCCGCCTGGCATCGACGCAAATGTATTTGCGCCTGCGCCACAACGCAAAACGAACAGTTGCCTCGTCGTCGGCTTCCTCGGCCGGATCGCACCGGAAAAGTCCCTCGGACTCCTTGCGCGCGCCGCCGAACTCCTCGCGACGAGACGCGATCTCTGCCTTGTCTTTCGGTGGGTCGGCGAAGGCCCCCATGCTGTGTATTATGCGCACTACCCGGTTGAGCTGGTTGGTGGTATTTACAACGAGACCGCACTCGTCCACGAGCTCCAGTCGTGGGATTTGGCAGTTCACCCAGGCCTCCAAGAGACGTTTGGCATCGCCAACATTGAAGTCATGGCGGTTGGGCTGCCACTGGTGTGCTTTGGTGTGGCCGGCACGACCGAGTACATTCGACACAACGAAAATGCGTGGGTTGTCGACGACATTTGTCCCGAGGCGCTCGCAGCTGGGATCGAAGTCCTGGCCAGAGACAGCGATTTGCGGCAACGACTGGGACGAGGTGCGCGTACGACAGTCGAGAAGCAGTTTACGTGGTCGGCGACGGTAGCTGCATACGACGAGGTGTTTGGCCGCCTCATGAGCGCGCCACGCGGCCAAGCTGTGATTAAGTGATAACACTATTTCTTCATGCCAAATGACTCATGATCGTCTTGCTTTTGCACTCTTTTTCGAGTGATTTGAGCTGGCGCACTTGTGACCAGAAACGAGGCAAGTCTCGCCAGGTCAACGGTGCTGCGAAAAAGGCGACGAAATCCTGGACCACCGCGACACGCTCGTTGCAACAAGGGACGTCCAAGGCAAGAAGAGTCTATTTGATAGCAGTCCTTCTGTATTCGGCGGTGGGATGATGCGTAGGCGTCACACGTTTGTTGAGCAGCTCCAACAGCTTGTTCACACATCGTACATGTACATTGACCATTGTTACGTCAAAAGGGTCGGATTTGAAACATGTTGAAGTGCATAAATGTGTGAATCGAGAATGTGTGTGATCTTAATATACGCACACTCGAAAACAACGCAATAGGATCTTGAAGGGGTGCGATGGCCGACAAGGACCGATCGATCGCAGTGAATATCCGAGACTTGGATCAATGGAACCACTTGCGCGAGAACGCGACAGAGAAGCTCATCGGTACCGTTACCTCATCAATAACATGGTCAGACGTGCGTGCGCCGTAGTCATCGACATGTATCAAGAGTGGTGTGGCCCGTGCAAGGTGCTCGAGCCAACGTACCGTCGTATTATTGGTGAGACGGCGTCTGCTGAAAGCCGGCTTCAGTTTGCAGCAGTAGAACTGCATCCTACGCAACCCGTATGAATCCATTAATGGCACGATTGTAGGTATGTTGTACCTCGGCCAAGATTGAGGGCATCACTGAGAACCCCACGTGCAAGCCGCGCTTCGTTTTGTGGCGTGTTCGTCCCTGTGCAAACGTGTCGACGTTTGCATCATCCTGTTGCGTAGGACAAAAAGTCCGTTGGCGAAGTGCTCGGTGTCAACGTGCCCGCACTTGAGGCCCTCATCAAGCAAAATCTCCCCGCGGCCAAAACCGAGGAAGACGCAGCGTAGTCGCCGCATTGGACCTCCATGTACAGAAAACTTGCCATTGAAACGTCGACATTTGTGCAGAGGGCTGATCGAGCATTGAGCTACGCGGCACACGTATTGGGTGCTCGGGCGAACGCGTGCTTGCTAAATGAAGTCGATAGGAAACATGTCGGATGACTGGCAACACAACGAACCTTTCCCGCGGTACAGCGCGCGGGTATTGAAAGTCGCGGTACGGTGTTGTGTGCATCTCGGGATCGCTGGGATCTTTTATGAGCTTGGGCACTGCGGAGACTGTGTCTTGTCGATCGTGGGTTGGAAGCAAAGGCAAGAAGCATGGCGTGGACATCGGGTTGCTGAGGTCCCCAAGAATGCGGCCATCGCTACTCGGTCCATTTGTCAATCGTTGAATGGCACATGGAGCTGTACAAGTACTCGAATGGTAGATCCAGCCACGCAAAGGGTTGCGGAGCTGCCTCGGGGTCCATGGAGGGGTCCTTGTAGCCCTTGCAGCGCTTACACAACTCCCTACACAACGCACAAGATCAAGCTTCAACGTGAGTGTGTCATCAAGGCGCACCGATACGAGAAGTTCTATTGGGGACCAAGCACCGGTAGGTACTCAGCTCTGGCATCGATGATTCGCAGAGCGTACGTGATTGCCTATAGCATTCAAAGAGGTGAACAAATGTGCTGGGATGAAGCACATCGTACCGCATTTCAAGCATTTCCAGTCGCCCTACGTATGCACATGCTGATTTAATAGTGATCCATGTCGCATCGTACCGGCCACCACGTCATGTGTGCGAGCTTCTTCTTCGGTTTCTGGGGAGGAAACCGAGCGCAGATTGACGTCAATCACGGGCATGATGGTTTCGATGAGAATGGTACGGTTTGCGGCTCTTTCGCGTCTACGGAAGCGCCCCATAGGGCTGCAACCGCAGCGTCGACGGTCCTACGACGCGAAGATCGCAGACAGTCCAAGTTGGGATCCTGCTGGGATTGTACGGAGAGGAGTCGATGGGAAAGTCCGAGAGCGCGAGCGCGTGGTATAACCTTCGTATCGTCGTTGGCTGGCCGTCTTCATGCGCAGGCGAGGTGCATGTCATTGCGCTTGTCTCTTCCGGCTCTAGGTGCCACATGGCACAACCGCGGTAGTCACAGGGCTCATCGAGAAGGAACGAGAGGTCAATGGTCTTGGCGATCGGTGGCAGGGGCGGCTGCTTCGTCATGTCGTCTTCCTCGAGGTAGTAGTCCTACACGATGGTTCCATCATGCGCAGCTCTTCCTCGTCCGGCTTCGCCCTTGTATGCAGTACCATCGTCGTATTCGCACTCCCTTTGGCTTCGCGGCTAATCAACTTGTGATTGCCGCCAAAAGATCGCTGCGTACGGATAACAGAATGTCCGGATAATCGATCCACTCTAAAATAATACACTACACTATATATTTTTAATACAGCAATTGGGTGTTGTCTAAATACTGTGAAGAACACCACACCTTGGGTCGCCAAGGGCACCAGGTATCAACTTATAGCCAACAGCGTACTCTGCGGCCATCAATGGGTACTATCTTTTGTATTGAGGGTCACGGCACTACGGCTATCTTTGGCCAAGTGCATATGTTGGTTGCTTGAACTCACACGTACGAAGACTATATCAGGATTACACTAAATATTGAGTGGTCGGGCTAGTGCAACCTCATCTTTTGGTTGCGATGGCGAAGCGCGTGGTGACCTTTGTGACTGGCAACAAGAAGAAGCTCGAGGAGGTCGTTGCGATCCTCGGTTCGGACTTTCCGTTCGAGGTGCGCAATGTGTCTCTGGATCTGCCCGAGCTCCAGGGTGAGCCCGCCGACGTCTCGCGCGAAAAGTGCCGGCTCGCGGCCGCCAAGATCCAAGGCCCCGTGCTTGTCGAGGACACGTCGCTCTGCTTCAACGCGCTTGGCGGCCTCCCGGGCGTGTACATCAAGTGGTTCCTCGAGAAGACGGGGCACGAAGGCCTCAACAACCTCCTCACCGCGTACCCAGACAAGTCGGCGTACGCGCAATGCATCTTTGCGTTCAACGACTTTAGCGCGGGCGAGGCGACCGAGCCGATCGTGTTTGTGGGCCAGACCCACGGCAAGATCGTGCCGGCGCGTGGCACCACCGACTTTGGCTGGGACGCGGTCTTCCAGCCCGACGGGTTTGACCAAACGTTTGGCGAGATGGACAAGGCGACCAAGAACACCATTTCGCACCGGTACCGGTCGCTCGAGAAGCTTCGCGCGCACGCCCACACGACCAAGTAGACATCATTGTAACAGGAAACTCTACCATTCTGTCTTTTCTATGGTATGGCGATGGAAGGATTCGATTGCTGCGTAACGGCTTGCGATGGACGAGAGCCGACGGCCGTTCGTCGTCGTGCGCGTGCAGCCGCCCCAGGACGAAGCCGAGAAGGGCCTTGGCGTCGTTGGCAACGGTGTCACGTGGATCCACCATGCAGAGGAGCGCGAATTCCGGTTCGGTGACGTCGTCGCCCCGGCCGCGCTGCCGGACGTTCTGACCGAGCGTGTGATCAACACGCTACGGCAGGGCCGCCACGCCACCGTCCTTTCACTAGGCCAGGTGCATTTTGCCGTATCGTTCACCAACGATCGATAGTTCTCACGACGGACGTAGCGTGAATCTGGCAAAACGACAGCCTTGTTGGACGCGGACGTGGGGCTCGTTCATCATGTGGCACGAAGTCTCTTCGCCTTGGATGTCACCGTGCGCATGAGCTTCCTCGACGTGTACGCGGACAAGGCCATGGACATGCTCAAGGGCAAGTCGACCAAGTGCCGACCGCTCTACCACCGCTCTATCGGCGCCTATGCGAGCGACCTCACGCGGCTCCAAGTATCGTCCTATGACGCCTTTGAGAAAGTACAAAGTGACGTTATGAACGCAGATGCTATGTATTTGGTTGGGCATTGTAGACGCTAGCACAGGCACTGCGTGCGCTCGCGATCGACTGCATCGTCGAGAACCGAGTTCACGGCGTGTCGTGCCGTATCCTCTCGCTCTATATCGAGCACCCGCCGCACGGGCTCTGGACACGTCTGGACTTTGTCGATATGCCGGCGTCGGCGCCGCGCCACCACACGCAAGCCGAGACGGACCTGGGTCATATCATGGAACAGGTATTCTATCGTCAAGGTATCGGCTCTTCAATGAATGTTCGTAGGGGTATCGGCAATTGCACGTGTGCTGGAAGCAGCTCGCGGACGGCGACGATCCTGCGACGATTCCATATGGGTTGACGGCGACGGTATGGACCCTAGTCTCGGAATGCTAGTCGACTATAGTATGGCCTAGTCGATGCTCCTGCAGCATATGCTTGGCAGCATGGCCGACGCATTTGTGATCGCCAACGTCGTGCAGTCGGCGCTCCAGAACGAGGTTCTCCACTTGATGCATTGATACATCGATATGCACACACAGCCAGGAAAACCTCTTGACGCTGCGGCACGCAACGTTGCTGCAAGCGATTCCGTCGCGCGTGCCGTCGACGCCATCGACCATTTGCAGTCTCTTGGGCGACATGGACGAAGACCTCTTGGCGCTACGCGACCGCATCACGTGGTTGAAAGCCAAGTTGCAGCTCAACGACGCGGGGCCGGCCGCGAGCGCAGCACTCGAGCAAGAGCTCCAGGCCAAGCGTCAAGCCACGCGGCACATCGAGTCTCTTCGCGCCGACTTTCACGTACCCAAAACACCATTTGTCATATTCCAAAATCTCGAACGTAGAAGGAAGCGATCGAGTACCACCAGGACGCACTCAAGTTTCAGTGTGGTGTCGAGAGTCTCAGCATCAGCCTCGGCACGTCGCTCCTCGAGCACGATAGTTTGAACGTCTACCTCGTGCGACTCCACGAAGAGCGCCTCTTTAGCTCTTGGTTTCGCTTCAACATCGCGGCCAACGACGTCCTCGCGGGCCGCCTCGCGTCGTCCCAGACACCGCCGGACAAGTACCCTGGTATCGTTCTCTTTGGGGGTGGCGCCATGGTGCGCCACTGCCGCTTCCAAATGCCAACGCCGCCCAACGTCGAGCTGCTGCCGGACGAGGGCATCTGTCTCCTCAACGGCGCCGACGTCTCGGAGCGCACAACGCTGCGGCACGGCGATGCGCTCACGCTCGGGCGTCGCAACGTCTTTCGCGTCTTCATTCCCCGCGTCCATGCACTCGAGCCGCTCGACTTGAGTCACTTTTACAACCGGGAGAGTGTCGTGCGCGCGTATGCGACCACCATGGACTTGGGGCCTGGCTGCGCCGAGCGCCACTGCCACGACGCGCTCACTCGGATCGTCGACCGCATCGTGACCATTCGCGCCATGCACCGCGACGGCATGCGCTCCGGCGACGTTCCCGACTCGGAGGCCATGGACATCCACGACATCTACCTCCAAGTATTACAACGACGCTCTGCACGCCTTGGATGTCGACGCCACGTGCGTAGAAAGGAGCAGCGCTGGACGCGAGCGCCATGACCACCGAGATGCGCCTCGCGACCATTCGGCGGCTCTCGCAGAGTGCGATCGACGAGATGAACATTTTGGAAAATCGGTCGGTTAATATCGCGAAATCGCGCTGCAGCTCAGCACGCATATAGCATCGCCACGGGGTATGCGATGCCGCTCCTCGACTACGTGGACGAAGCCAACGTCATGAGCAAGGAGGTGAACGAGCCCTTGATCGTCCGTGCCGTGCCCATCATCCAGCACATGGTCACCCACGACGACGAGGCGCCCATCGATCGAGCCCAAGTACGTCCTTCGCGCTATCGTTTCTAATAGCGTTGTAGCTCCAAACCGACCTGTGGATCGTCTTTCAGAACCGCGAACGTCCCCGCCAACGCATGATCATGCGGCCGCAGGACTTTTTCCTCCGGCTCGCGCTCCTTCGGTCGTACCACAGCGAGGTGCAGCTGCTCCATTCGTCCAAAGCACGGAATCCGTTTGTCGTCGACGACGGCGTCGAAGAGCTCATTGGGGTCGCGCCCGTGTACATGGGCCGTCTTGCCTACTACCTGGACGTGGACGAAGCCGTCCCGATCGTCAACCGGACCGGTAGCATCACGGGCCACCTCGTCGTGAGCGTCCAGCCGTACGTTGAAGAAAAGGTGTACGACGCCGTGGCGCGGCGCGAGGTAGGATGGAGGCCACTCAAACTCTTGCTTGGAAGAGATGATGGGCAGGTGGTGCGCTACACGCACTTTGCCGACATGGACATTGACAAGGACAATGAGCTCGCGACAGCCGTCGGGATGCAGACGCACGTCGAGTTTCACGTGACGGTCCGCGGCGCGCGGGGGCTGCCCTCGGCGCTCAACAGCAACGTATTTGTCGAGTACAGTTTTTTCGACGACGAGCGACCACGCGCGACCGAGCCAAGCCCGACCAAGTCGAGCCACCCGGTGATCCAAGAAACGTTTGTGCACCGCGTGCTTGTGACAGACAAGCTCGTGCACTACCTCCTCCATGGCGCCGTGACCTTCCAGGTGCTACAATGCGCAGTCGAGTACTGTACGAAATGCAGTGGTAGGTGTATGGCTACCGCGGCGACCACATCCACCTCCGCGACGCGCCAGATCGGGTAGGCAAAGAGTATATCTGCGGCGTTGGTCGTAGTGTCCTCTTCTCTTGGGTGCGCCCGCTCACCTTCCACTTGTACGGTATCGTTAGGCCTACTGGTGTGACTTGGAGACCAAGTCGCTCAGTGCCACGATCCACGCCCTCGAACGCAAGGTGGATGGGCTCCAAACCCAGCTGCGACTCGCGCAAACATGGTCCGACGTCCCATCCCCCGCCGACGCCTCCTCTATACTGCACGAAGCAAAGGTGACAGTGGAAGATACGATGACGGAAGAGGCGCCGCCGGTAAGTTGACGTGGATCCTGGCGTCATTTGTGCATGTCGCTCTAGACGAACGGCGCCAAAGGAACGAGCGAGGAGGATCGGGATCGAACCCGCTTGGCGCACGCAACGTCGTGGCGCGGTTCGATCAGCAAGCGGACGAGCGTCGTCGGCCGTGTGCTGCGCGCCAAGTCCATCAGCAGCGTGCTCTCGGCGCAACGATCAGGCGTCTGTGCCGTGCAGTAGCCAACTCAGGCCCATGAAGGCGCCGTGTCATATCTGTACTGTACGTCGACAAAGCTACAACGACCACAAAGAATCCCTGTCTACCAAGCCATCATCTTGTGCGCTTGTTGACCGAGTCGACATCTTGGATGAGGTGGTCGGACAGTGCCGAGGCTGTGATGGTCGGACAGTGCTGCTTCAAGCCGCGGGATGCGCCAAAGAACCGACGCAAGAATCCCACGCTTCCTGCAAACCGACGGCAACTTTGCACGAAAAACGGGTGCCACGCGGCCGTGTCACGAGTCTACGCGAGGCGCCAGCTGGTTCTGCGTTATAACCCGGCTCGCATCACCGAACAGTATCTTGGTGGCATGTCCCGCGCGACTGCGATATGATTCCGAACGTCAACCCCACCTCAACCTGTACGACGCGCGATCGCTATCATTTTCCTCCTATTCTAGCGCTACATACACTGTCCAAGTACACAAGATGCAGTTGCGCCGAGCGCGATGGGACCGACCAGCCCCCGTCTTCACTGCAACTGCTTCAAGTGGCGTCTTTCAATGCTGGCGCTGCCACGTGGTGCGCACCCGCGATAGGCGGCCAATCACACAAACGCCGAGCGATCCAAAAAAAGCGATGCAGCGCGGCACGTGGGACATGTCACGACCAACGTCTCTTCGAGGCTGCTGATCCGCAGGAGAAAGGGCATTGCGTGTTTTTGACGGGCAATAGACAAGACGAAGAAGCGGAAAGTTAGTAAATAGTATACGTGCAGAACGAGCAAGACACGTCTAGGGTGGAGGAAGGAATATGCAGTCAAAACTAGACGACGAGGATGTTGGCGGCGTCGGACGTGATGCTGTCGTCGTGCTCGAGGGACGCAATGAGGAAATCGAGGCAGTCTTCGAGGCTCGGGACCGCGTCAACGACGACGCACTTGTCGAGTATTACGTTCTTGGGCGTCGCAAGCGTCGACGCAATCGTCTTTTTCGGCTCCGACTTTTTTTTTTGCTTTTTGATGAGTTCCTTGGGCGAGGCGTTGCCGTCGTCGCTGCAGTTGCTCGAGAGGTCGACCGCGCCAACGTTGAGGCTCTTGAGGTGGCAGAACGCCGACGGCTTCAAGTCGAGCACCTTGACTTTCGAGTCGGCGCCCGTCGGCGTCATGTTGGTCGGCTGGTGGTGCTTGTCGTCCGGCAGCGTGATCGTGTCGTGGTGGTGCATGTGGTGGTGGTGGTGATGCAGGTGGTGCATGCGGTGGTGGCTCTCGGTCGTCGACGAAGAGCTCTCGCTGCCGTCCTTTTCGTCAATCGACGGGCGGCGGACGTGCGTGTCCTGGGGCCCGACCTGCTTCTTGCGGCGGCGAAGCCCGCGGTCGCGGCGCGCGATCTTCTCGCGGAACTTTTGCGCGTGCGTTTGGGTCTGGCGCACGTTGCGCGTGCGCACCATGGACGCAATGACCTTCCACGGCCCGAACGGGTAGAGCTTGGAGGCTTGCAGGAAGCGCTCGTGTTCCTCGAGGGTCCACGTGCCCTTGCCCTCGTTGGTCGTCTTGCGGTGCTTGCGGGGCGACATGTTGCCCGGGTCGCAAGGGAGCTTGGTGTGGATGCCCATGAATGTGGTAGGTTGGACTGAAATTGCAAAGTGGGGCAAAAGAGAATCTTTCGCGCTAACACAGAGAAACGAGCCGACGTTGAACGCAATGGGCGAGAGAAACGCTGGATTACAGTCGCTGGGTGGAGCGCTCCGAGTCCCACCCTCGGGCTTTGACCAGATGGCGCAATATACCACATACGCTCGACGGCATCGCATTGAAGAACCGCTCCCATCTCTACAGCGACGTTGCCGTCGTCGTCGAGCTGCACAGCAAACGACGTGCCACGTGTTGACGGTGCGCTCGCCACACAAGTCGACGACGATCGATGTGTGGTCGAGCGAGCTGCATATTTCTCTCGCCTTCAACGCGCATGTATATACACGCGGGCGCTTGGTAGCGTCTGCAGCTCTTCTTTGCGCTCGACACGTGGAAACGAGGCGCGCAGAGTGGGCAAGAGCGATCGAAGAACGTGAGAAACCCGGGTCACGGACCACGGCCGATAAAAAGCGCCAAAAGCGCACCTTGTCTTTGACCCTGCACCGCGTATGTGCACGACCCGCCACCAGACGCCTGGCAACGAGACGACGTCGTATCGACACTCCTCGCAAGCTGCACGACCACTTTGAACAGCAGCTCGTGTTGACGTGATACACCGCACACTGCCGACCGCGCTGGTTTTCAATCGTTTAACGCAAGAAACACGAGGTCGCAGCGCGGTAAACGCACGGTTTAACGCGTCTGCGACCTTGGTTTCGACAGCGCGAGACAGTTTGCAGCTCACGCGGCCGATCTTGTCTCTGCCTGCGTCGTACACTCGACCTTTACATCGAGTAGCTCGACCCAAGAGCATAGTGGATAGCGTCTGCTTTGCCATTCACGAGACCACAACAATACTGTACGCTTGCTACTCGCGGTAGCAAATGTGCGACGAGGTCTCGCCAATCTTCTTCGTACTAAGATCGAGGCCTTCTTTGTACGAGATCGTTGGCACCGTGCCGTGTGTGCATGGACTGGTGGTGATGGCGCGACTACACGCCCCGGCTGGACACGCCAATCTGACCAAACCGCCGCTGTGTCGAGGCCCCTCTCAGTGCATTACGGCGCTGCATACCGTTGCGGACTCGTTCGCGGCGATGGCGATGCGGCACGTCTTGTCTATGAATTCATTTTGGTCGAAATTTGGCCTCGGATCTTTGAACCGGAACCCACTCTATTTGCACCGCCATCGTGTCTACGCCTCAAGCCTGTCAACGTCCCCGAATGCCGCAAAGGGCCGCTTGCTACACACAATAGTGCTCTCCGTCGTCGTGAGTCACAGCCACGGAAGATCGCGCGGCCTGTTTATGGTTCAACCCGCTAGTCAGGCTGATCGGCCATCTGAGTTAGCCGCAATCTGATTGGCCACGAAACAGTCGAAGTTCGAAGGAGCGAAAAATCTTCGGCGAGCGGACAGCGATGCCAAAGCCGACGACCGCCAGCAGCGTGCCATTGCCGCGCCACCAAAAGCTCCGAAGCAGCGACGATGGCCTGGACGGCGACAACGAGAAAGGCTTCGAGACCATGGCGGTGCAGTCGTCGTCATCGTCCCCCAAGCGGGCGATGCATTGCGTCCTTACGTCCCCAGGCATGCTCGTGATTGCCATGCTTGTGGCTGGCGTCCTCGTGCTCATGGCCCTAGTTTCGTTCTCGGAGGAGCCTACGGCGACGATACAAGCGCTGCCGCCGAGCGTTGCCACGCTCATGGATACGTCCGTCGCACCCTGCGATGACTTTTACCAGTATGCATGCGGCGCGTGGATCGCCAACACGACGCTACCATCGGACCGGTCGCGCTACTCGCGGTCGTTTGACAAAATTAAGGAGGCGAACGAAGCCATCTTTATGGAGATCGTCTACGACAAGTGGCCTCTTCTCTCGGAGCTCTTCACATCGTGCATGGACACGGCGACGCTGGATGTCGTCGGGGCGGCCCCGCTGGCTGCTGGCATTGCCATGCTTCGCGCGGCAACAACAAAAGCAGATCTCGTGCACGCCATGGGCGAGCTCTCGTCGCGAAGTGCGCTGTCGTTTCTGATCGACGCAGGCATCTACGCGGACGAGAAGAACTCGACGATCAACTCGCTCCATATCTCGCAAGGTAGCCGCATGCGGACGATACTGCCTATCGATGCCCTTGAATAGGTGGTCTCACGTTGCCCGACCAAGACTACTATACCAACGCAACGCGGTTCGCAGTGTTTGAGCCTGCGCTTCGCACGTATGTGCGCGAGCTTCTGACGCACATTGACTACCCCAAAGTTCCCGAGGCCGTCGAGACCATTGTGGCGCTCGAGGTGAACCTCGCACGCGCGAGCGTGACCAAAACCGCACTGCGCGACCCGCTTCGTACGTACAACATCGTGCGGGACATCAATGCGAGCTACCCGCTGGTGCTTGGCGCGTTCTTTGCCGGCGCCAAGCTGCCATTGACGCCGACGTCGGCCGTGATTGTAGCGACGCCGTCGTTTCTCGACTACGCAGAGAATTTGATCAAGTCGACGCCACTGGAATCACTCCAAACATTGTTTGTGTACCAGTACACGGCCAGCATGGCATCGGCTCTGTCGTCGCCGTTCCGCAACACGTCGTTTGCGCTCTATGGTCGCGCGATTGGGGGCCAGGAACACCCACGACCGCGCCAGAAGCAGTGTCTCTCGAGCGTCAACGAGTATCTCGGCGAGCTACTGAGCCGGTAGCAACGACAAGCCGTGGATTCTCTCAACATACCACGCTTTGTAGCTACTACTTGCAGAGGACCTTTCAGCCAGACGCGCTGGCCGCGATTCAGGCGCTCGTCGCTTCGCTTGTCGAGACGTTCCATGGGCGCCTCATGGCGGCTGCATGGATGGACGCCGAAACAAAAGCGGCGGCCATTGCCAAGCTTCGCGCCATGTCGTCGCTGTTGGGGTACGCCGTCCTGCGCTTTGACGTCACGTTGATCGCTATGTAGCTACCCGTCACAGAAGCTCATGTACACAGGGCTGGTGCTATCGCCGTCAGAGTACTTTGCCAACGTCCAGCAACTGACGCACCTCATGCATGTTCGTGCCGTCGCCAAGCTCCATCTGCCTGTCGACAAGGACGAGTGGCTCATGCACGCGCACGAGGTCAACGCGTACTACAACCCGCTGGCCAACCAGATTGTGTTTCCAGCGGGCATTCTCCAGCCGCCCTTCTTTGACGCGCACCAGGACCTCGTGCTCAACTATGGCGCGATTGGCATGGTCATAGGGTGAAATGCGGCGCTGGCCTCTATACGAACTTAGTCGTCGTTAGGCACGAGATCACGCACGGCTTTGACGACCAAGGGCGCAACTTTGATGCGACCGGCAACATGCAGCCGTGGTGGTCGGATGCGACCGCCCAGCGCTTTGAGGCCAAGACGTCGTGCATCGCCACGCAGTATACGTCGATGGCCGTACGCAACGAGTCGTCGGGCGAGCTCCTCGGGCACGTGAACGGCCGCTTGACGCTCGGCGAAGACATTGCCGACGTCGGCGGCCTCCGCGTCGCGTTTGACGCGTACACGGCAGCCATGACTGCGGTACATCACCAGTCATTGGCTTCTGTTATAACCACGTGCGGATAGATCCATAGCAAGGTGCGCGAGCAGCTCTTCTTCCTCTCGTTCGCGCAGAGCTGGTGCACAAAAGCCACCGACCAAGCGCTGCAAGTACCCTCGCCACTGCAATCACAACCACGATCCATCGGAATACTGCGTAGAGCTCGCTGGACGACGTCCACCCGCCGGCCAAGCAGCGCGTGAACGGCGCCGTCATGAACAACGAGGCGTTTGCCCGTGTCTTTAACTGCCCCGCGGGCGCGCCGCTCCATCCGCGCGAGAAATGCAACGTCTGGTAAACCTTTCGTGACGACGGCGTCGGTTCGATCCCACCCACCGCCTCTGCACCTCGTGGGAATAGCTCTTGGGAATATACGTGGATTACGCCTACGATTACCTTGGCGACATCGCGAAACGCTGGCGCGCAGACACGTCGGTGCGGTTGATGATGGCGCGCGTCTCTCGCAGCAGGATACAGAGAACACCCACTTGACGAACCTTGTACTCTCGACATGTCATTGATGCAGCTTGCACCTCTTCTCAATGCATTACGCGAAGTCGACGTCGCTCTATGTGCTGGATGCTGGGTTAGACAGGCCGCATCGATATCCGGACATATCCCGCGTATACGGATGCGCTCCGTGATTGGTGGAGGCGGGCGTCATCATCGTCATCAGCACCAAAAGCAACATCGAGATGGCCATGCACTGGAGCGACGACGACGAAGGGTACGAGAACGAGCAGCCGTTCATGTGGCTCGAGGGCGACTCGCTCGCGCCGCCGTGCCAGTCGGACTATGACATTGTTCAGGCCATCATCGACTTTGCCCACGTCCAGCCCACCGACGTACGCCATTCGTATGCGAGAGAGATGTCGTGCTTATGGAGCGTATAGGTCGTCTTTGACTTGGGCTGTGGCGACGGCCGCATCTGCATTGGTGCAGCCCGGCAACACGGCTGCCGTGCAGTCGGTATTGAGATTGAGGCGCCGCTCATCGCCAAGTTTGAGCAGTCGATCACCAAGTACAACCTGCAGGACAAGGTCCGCATGTTGCACGCGGACCTCATGGACGCCGACCTCTCCGAGGCGACCGTCATCGTAACGTACTTGCTGCCGGAAGCGCTCACATTGCTCGCGCCCAAGCTCGAAGCCGCCCTCGCCCGCGGGTGCCGCATCGTGAGCAACACGTGGGGCATTCCGGGCATGACGCCGTCGGCGCGCGTCGACGTCGGTCAGTACGCCAACGTGCCGCTGTACCTCTACGCGTCGCAGTCGTAATACACTATTCTCTGTCGCGGATACAACGCACATGCTTCTTCTGTTCTTATCTAGTCTGGGTCGTGTCTTAGGCCGTCGATCGGTCGCTCTCGACGAGGCGCTGGGCCACGTCGCGCACGAGACGCATCGTCGCGGTAAGCTCGTCGCCGGACGCGGGCAAATACTTGTCGCAAAAGACAACCGCGTCTTCATAATGCCCGAGCGTAATCGCGGTTTCGACGACCATGCGGAAGACGGGGCGCGGCGCGTCGGCCACGTCCTGTGCCGACTTGCCGGCAAACGCGAGCTGCGCGAGCTCGTACGCCGCGTCGAGCGACCGGACTTCGAGGTGCAGCTTGAGCATCGTCTCGACCGCCTTCCACGTGAGCTCCATGTCGTGCTCGATCGCATAGTCGATCAAGTGCGCGCACGACGAAGCGTCTTTCTGCTGCGCGTACGAGTAAAACGCCGCGCCAAAGACGAAGTCCGAGACTCGGAGGACGTTGGGGACGCTCGCCACGTGGGCCAAGAACGCATCCGCGGGCAGCGTCCGCACGAGGAAGGGCACGTATAGCGGCTTCAAGATCGAAGGGCGCATGCAGATGCCGTGCGCTTGCATGGCTTGTACGAGCGACTCGACGTCAGCGAACGACGTCTCGGGGTTTTGGAGCAGCGGCGTGAGCACCGAATCGAAGAGGGACGGGAGCGCGGTCGCCAACGACGGGTGCGCAATGTACGCAAGCGCTGCTTTGGTGGCGAGGCTGGGCGCGTGGAAGCGCACTGGCAGCAATAGCGTGGACACCAGCGTCGAGAGCGGCAAGATGAGCGACGCGTTGGCATACGCCATCAAAAGATCGGACGCGTCGTCGAAGCGTTCGAGCATCAAGCAGCTTTCAATGAGCTGCGACCAGAGCGCCGGTGGCACGAAGTAGCCGTGGTCGGTCATGAGCTTGGCCGACGCGACCGCGTGCTCGATGGATGGCGCCAGAAACCACGGATGGCGTTTGCTTTCAGGCGGCGTCGCATTGCACGCCAGCGCATTCCGGAAGTGATGCGCGTCGAGGTGCACGCGGCCGACGCAGTGCTGCAGCACGTTCAGCGCCTTCTGGCCGCGCTTGAGCATCGTGTACGCATACAGACCTTCGAGCACAACGTCCCGCCGAGCTTCGCACCACAGCTCCGCCTTGTACTCACGCTTGAGCGCGCGAAAGTACAGGGCGACTTCGTCGTAGCGGCCAAGGCGGTTGAGGGCGCCGAGCAGCGCATGGAGACCTGCGTTGTCGAGGCAGCGCTTGCGCGGGTGCATCTCCACGTATGCCACGATCACATCCTCATAGCGCTGTGCGTGAAAGAGACGCGCCATCTCGGCCGACGCCACCGCGTCCGCGTCGCGCCAAATCTTGCAGTAGGCCTTGATCGACGGCGGCTCGACGGCCGCAAAGGCAGCAGCTTCGCCTTGCAGCTGGTGCAGCGCCGGGGCCTTGCTTGCTTGCGCGGAAAGAGAGAGTGCTCGCCTGTGCAGCGGCGCCACGGACCGCGCAAGAGGCGCCACGTGGCGCAAGGCGGAGCGAAGGACGCGCGTCTGCATCGTTTGTCTCTCTTGACCAGCCGCGAATCCGCCAATTTAAGGCGTGATCCGGCAATTATCCGGATAATTGGACCTCGTTTTGTCGAGATTGCCCTCTTTTTGACATATCGCTGTGGACGCCGCACAATCGCGGAGCGTTTAAACACGTTTTAGTTCAAAAGCGCCTTTTAACGCATCTGCCACGTCAAGCCCACGCGCGCTGTGGCACCTCTTGAGACTCGCAGGCCGCGCCCACAGTCGACAGATGCACGACATGCATCGCGCATGCTGCACGGGCAGCGACGCAGTGCGAACTGTGGCGCGAGATTGTCCTTGTCGGTTGAACGTTTGACCTGTTTGCGTCAAAGTGTTTAACCGAATGGTAGCCTCGGGACGTCACCATCCATTTTCAACATCGACGAAGCGTTTGGAAGATGAGCTGGTTTGGCCGCGGCAAGAGCGCTGCGCCCGCGGAAGAGACCCACTTCGCCGAGGAGTCGTCGTCCTTCATGCACGAAGAGTCGGCGCCGACCAACTTTGCGCCCATCTCGAGCGGCACGAGCATCAACGACATCGTCATGGAGGAGCAGAGCAAGATGCTCGTCCAGCAGGCCATTGCGAGCATGACGGCCATCGCGTGGGACAAGTGCAGCGCGTCCAAGCCCGACACGCAGCTCGCGAGCTCCGAGATCTCGTGCATCCACAACGTCGTCGCGTCCTACTTGGACTCGAGCCAGTTTATCATCCGCAAGCTCAACAGCTCCCGATAAACCATTACACCAAGCGAGAGAGAGAGCGACTAACAGACCTTGAATGGACGCTCGCGTTCTTTGCCGTCCTTTCTTACGTTGTCTTCTTGTTGTTCGATTGCGGTTTCGCAGCGGTGGCATGGACGTGGGCGTGCATCGGCGGCGCCGACCGTCGCCCACGAAGCGCCTCCGCGCCAGGCTGCCACCTGTCGCGTCCAACAACCATCCATGCCTGGACGACGCTCCACCCGACGACGACGGCGACGAGGTCCAAATTACGCCCATTGTCGTGCAGCTGGAGCCGCTGCCCGTCTACCACAACCTGCTCACCTACCCGTTGCTCGTCCGTGCGCACACGCGAGCCATGCACGACGCTGGCTTTGTGCAGCGCAGTATCGAGCGGTGCGCGCGAGGCCATTACTATGCGCCCTTTCGACGCGTCTCGTAGGTGGCAAACCCGGGCGACGCGGCCAGAAGACGCAATCGTCGCGCGTGCGGCCGTGCGCGGGTCGGCGGCGACTGCGATCCAGTCCATCTGGCGCACGCACGTCGCTGTCCACGCCAAGCGCGACCGAGTAGAGGCGCTTCTGACGCTGCAGACGACACGAGCGAATTGGGTCCAGCGGCACCGCCCGTCGCTTCTGCGCCAGCTCCAGGCGCTGCACGCCAACGTCCGTCTCTGCGACCGCAAGGTCGTCGCGCCGTTTGGGCTCCTCTCGGCCTACTACGTGCTGCCTGTTTGGCTGCTGCAATGGCAACTGCACTTTCATACGGGCCGCCGCCGCGGCCAGTTTCTCCGGCGCCCCGTCCAGCTCACGCGCTTTGTCACGTTTGCCGTCGACGCGACGACGCACCTGGTCCATGTACTCTGGCGCCAACTGACACATATCGCAGTCCTAGTCCTTCAGTGCGCACAGCGCAGCCGCTGGGCGCGCGACCGGTACGTCCTCCGAGCTGTCGCATTCGAGTGGGAGACTGGAGTGCTGTGGATAGAGCGGCGTACCAGCGGCGCGTGCGTGCGAGGCATCAAGCCGCGACCTGTCTTCAGTGCGCCTGGCGTCAATGGGCAGCCCGCAACGAAGCGCGGCGTCGGCGACGCTATGTTGCCGCCCGTCGTGTGCAGTGCGCGTGGCGGTGCGCCGCGGCCCGTCGCTGCGCGGCCCGCTTGCTCTTCAACCGCACGAGCCGTCTCTTTATTGCTGCACTCTTTCCGGTCGTCTTGGCGTCCGCAGCACAAAAGCTCCTCCACGCCGCCGCCGCCCGTATCCAGCGAGGTAGCAATCGATCCGAACCGAATCGTTTCCTGAAGTACACTAGTGCAACGGGGCCGAGCGGCCCGGAGTGCGTTCCGACAGATCGCGCTGCAAAATGCCGTCGCGCGGTGGGCCCAAGACCCCGACCGGGGCCATTCTTTGTACGCGATGCAGTGCTACTTTGACGCAGCACTCGTCTTTGAACAATGCTTCTTGAGCGGGCACCCCGGGTCGCCGCGCTTTTACACCGAGTGGGCGACATCGCACTTTTACGTCTACGAAGCCACGGGCGACGTGTTCAACTTGGACCGCGCGATTCTTGCGTTCGAGCAGCTTATGCCGTCCGAGACGGACGCGAATGGCTTTACGTGGTGCTGCTACTGCATGCACGTGCAAGCGCGGTTCTTCCGCCACGAGTTTGAGAAAGCACTGGCGCTCGGTGTCGACTGCCTGGAACGAGCGCCAGTGACTCTCGAGAAGGACTGGCGCGCAAGTGTGCTCTTTGTGTGCGCCATGGTAGCGCTCGAAGGAAAGGCGCTCGAGCGCTGTGCAATGTACCTCGAGACAGCCCTTGCCTTGCTACCGTTGACAACCTGCCCGGAGCTCAGTCTCCGCTTCACGTTATCCCAAGTGTACAGCCTCCTCGCCGATGCGCGCGCCGTCGAAATTTCAACGGAAGAAGCCGAGCGAGCAAAGCTGGCAGAGAAAGCAGCACGCGAGAAGTCACCATCGACGGATGATGCTGTTGCGACACCCGATACGCTCACGGTGGACGCCGTCGGCGTAGAGGAATCGGCTGCACCGACACCGGCAGAAGGCACGGACAACCCCCACGACTCCAAGACTACGAAGGATGCAGCCGAAATGACAAACGTCGGTGACTCTACCGAAATGACTGAAGTCGACGACGCAGCGTCTCCGGAAGCAACCCGCCCGGCCTCTCCACAAGTGAATGGGGGCGGTGCCACGACCGCGATGAACACGACACCAGAAGGAACCAGTAGACGCTTGGAGCCCCCGATCGATGCGCCACTCGTCAATCCGTGGCCAGCCAAGGCAGCGCATGAGCTCGCAACCTGCTTTGCCATCACCGAGCTCCGCATGGGCCAAGGGTACATTTCAATCGTCTACGCGGTGACGATTCCCATGTACACGTAGCGTCTACCATGGCGTGCTCTCGGACGCCGCCGCCGAGGTGCTTCTTCATGTACGTGCGCCATCTACCTTCCGTCGCAAGCGCAAGCAAATTCTTAGGCGACGCCACCCGGCACGTTTCTCGTGTACCGGAAGAAAACGGCATCGCGCTACCTGTACGTCAAAGTCAAGTGGCCCGACGAGACGTTCACGAGCATGAAGATTCAGTTTCTTGCGGGCGCTTATAGCCACGCACAAGTGTCGGTCGCCACCGACGCCAGTCTCGTAGGCTTTCTCCAGCAGCTACCGGCAGCGGCCGGCATTGACGTGACCAAGGGACTGCGCAAGGCGGGCCCCCACCCCATTTTTGGCCCCCTCTTCTCCTCTAGCACCGAATGGGTGGCCTCCAACCAACCTTGGCTTGAGGTCGCGCACTCGTGGGACCTCCAGTCCGCCTACGTTTTGTCGGCGTTTGTGGCGGCCCGCGCCCCGAGCTACCGTCGGCACGTGGCCCTGGAGATACCGAAAGCGATTCCCAAAACCGGATGGCACCTTCCGGCCCGCAAATCGAGCTTGGTGCTGCGCGACGAGGCCGAGACCGCGGATGCATATCTCCTCTTGGCCAAGGCAGCCCGTGGCCTTCAGCGCAAGATGGACAGCCTCGTGCTCGTGCAACAAGCCGCGCATTTGGACCCGCGCCACGAGTGCATTCGTCGATCGTACGTCTCGCAGATCAGTGCCGTCTTTGAGCCAGCGCTCAAGAAGCTCCAGAAACTTGACCGGTTCGTGGGCTACGCGCTAAACTGCGATACGTATGCGGTCACATCGCGCGGCGATCCGGGCCGTGAAGTACTCCTCCTTGAGGCATTGGACCGCGAGTGGTTTGGACCGAGCGCGCCACCAACGTTCTTGCGACGCCTCTTGCGCGCCCATGTCCGCGCCTATGCCATCGGACCATTTGACGCCGTGCACTTGGAGCTCGCGATCCGGGCCGCCGACCGCCTCCACAATGCGCTGTGCCCGGCACGACCCGGTGGGTCACTGCCTCGTGTCCGCGTCTTCGGTCCGTCCGTGCCGTCGAAAAAACTCAAATCCAAATCAAACGCCAAGATGAAACTCAAAGCATCCCAAATGACCACCGTAACAATGCCTCTTGCGCACCTGTTCGAAGTCGCCGAGGTCATCTACCGCGTGCGGCGTCTCCCTGCCGCGATCGACCATCTGCGACTCGTCGTACAGCGGCTGCGCGCACTACCCCCGAACCCAATGCATTTGCACATGATGCAGATGACCCAGATTCGACTGGCCTTTCTTTATCAACAGATACACCGCATGGACTTGGCCATCGAAGCCATCAATCACGTTCAAGTCCTTAGCGCCAAAGTAGGTACGCGGCCGCCACCGCTGCTGTGGCCGTCCCGCATGTCGTACCATCTCTCACCGGAAGAAGCCCAGTTTCTACGAGGCATGCTGCGAGAGCTCGCGCACGAAGACGGTGCGCACATCGACTATGCTCCATTGCACAGCAGCCTCATTGAGCGCGTCAAGCGGTCGCTTTTGGACGAGCAGCGGCTCCGGGCGACCGCCGAGTACCGCGGCAGCCATCTCCAAAGTCTAATCGTCACAGTGGGCGAGAGCTTGCATCTGCCCATCGCGTCGATCCTACACGCCCACTTGCGCGTCGTTATCAAGTGCGAGGGGGTGGTTGCTGTGACCGAAGAGAGTCCGAGCTGGGAGAGCCTCGAGCCCAACTGGGAGCACCAGCAAGTCCGGCTTCGCGTGCGGTCGCGCCACGCCACAGCGCTGGTGCGAGTCCTGAGCCGCCACATGGGCCGCGACACCTGCCTTGGCCTCGTCGCCGTCCCGATTGAATCGCTTTTGGAAAACGGGGGCTTGCCGCCGACGGCCATGACGCTGCGTGTACCTGCGTCCGTGACGCTCCGACGTCCGAATCTGTACCCGACGCTCGTGCTCGGGTTTCAGCTCACGACGCTTGCACCGACGCGGACGGCCGAGGCCGACGAAGCACGCTTGTTGCCGTTCTCACTGCCCGACTTTTTGAATTTGCCGTTTGTGTGGGAGCGATTTGCGCATCGGTTTGTCTCGAATGGCGACAGCTTTCTCGCGCGGCCGTTCCTGCTGCAAGCGCTGCGCCGGCACACGCCCCCGTACTCTCTCCAGACGATCCGGTGCATGCTATCGCTTGCACGCTGCGAAATGGACTGCAAGGCGAATCCGTCGGCGCTCGAGTGGCTTCAGAAAGCACACGCAGCGCTCGTGGTGCTGCCCCAGCGCGACGGCGCCCTCGAAGACAGCGCCATTGCGCTCATGACGCAGTGTCTCTCGCCCGACTCGCTGTTCCGCAAGCAGCTTCTCACGGCACAAGAGCACCCGATCTGCCACGAGTATGTCCGCATGCGCTACAGCGACGGCGACTACTACGTCGACAAGGCGACGGGCGAGTGTCTCACCGAGGCGCCGCTCGGGTTTGAAGCCAATCCGCCTGCAAAGCCCCGCCTACAGGTGCATACGCTCAACTTGGAGCCCATCTTGATACAGGGTTGTAGCGTATGGTGCTGTTTGCGCCGGCAATGAAGCAGCGCATCGCGGGACTTCGCCGCGAGATGCTCGCGCGCGCCGCCGCCGACCCGGATCAATGGAGCGCGATCTTTGACGAGACGCACGGACGCATGTTTTACATTAGCGCCGTCCACGCTCTCCAGACGTTCAAGCGGCCGTCAGCCTACGTCATGGTCGCGGACGAGCACACCGTGTACAGGTACATACATACAATAGTGTCCATCATTGTGTGGCAAACCGTCCACTAGTGTCTTGCTCATCCAAGACTTGTTTCGGCTTCGCCGCCTCCGCGCCCGCGTCCGCCGTCTCTTGCGTCGCGCAATTCGAGTGGTCTGTTGGAAGGATGAATCGTATCAAGTTGATAGACTGACACGGTAGGTGCGCATCGTCGTGTACATGGTGACGGCCGAGAAAGCACGGGCCGAGGCGAGACGCATTCGGGCCACAAAAGTGCCACTCAACTGCATCAAGGTCATGATCGAGTACGCCGAGGACCTGCGCGCGGCGGATCGCGTCTCGAGCGACCCGTTCGTGACGCTCGACATCACCACCAACGGCAACGGGCCTCGTCCTCGGTCGCGTCAGACGTCAGTGCAGCCCTCGACGCTGACGCCGATCTGGAACGAACTCTTCCACATACCGTACGCATGGCTCCAGCACGAAGTCGACCCGCCGCGAAAGCGGCCAACCCATGCCAAGACCGCCGAAGACGAGGAAGCGGACGACAAGGACGAGGACGATGACGATGACGCACCAGGTGACATTGACATGGACCGCGTCACGAAGGCACTTGCCATCAATTTGGTCGAAAACGACGCAAGCCTCCACGACGATATCGACGACGAACGGTCGCTCGTGCTTACCGTGTGGGACTTTGATGCCCCGGTGTATCGGACACGTGCGGCGTCGCGCGAGTTTCTCGGTCTCGCTGTCGTGCCCCTTGACGCGCTCGACCACGGAATGCCGATTTCCGCCGAGCTCACGCTCCGAGACGAAGACGGGTACCTCTCGCCGCGACCCCGGGGCACGCTCAACATGACAGTGCAGTGGATTGCATACTGCTTTCCACGCTCGCTTCGGTCTGTGATGCTGGCGACGTGGGCCATCGCGCGCCTTTCCCGCTTACTCGCCATCACGTACGCGAAGCGCGTTGTCGTCGCCAAGCCCAAACCGCCTCTCTCGGACGAGCTCCAAATGCTCTTGGAGCTTGTCGACTCGACGTTTCACACGGCGCTCCTCAAGCTTGCCGATGTGATCGTCATGGCGGACCAGCTCCAGCGGCTCAAGCACCGCCTCTCGGACGCACGGAAAGGCCAAACGACCGCAGACGAAGAGAAGCACATTGAGCTGCGTCTCCAAGCGGTCATGCGCGACCAGTTTGGTCCAAAGCAGCGCAAGCTGCTCGACACCAAAGCCGACCTCGCCAACTGTCTCAAGAGCTTTGCCAAACTCACGTCGGGCACGAGTATGCGTCTCGTATCTCGACTTGCATCTCACATGTGTGATGTCGTAGTTGCCGAGTACATTGCCAGTGTCGACGCCACTTCGAGCATCGCCGAGCGCGTTGGGCTTTGGCTCAATGAGCTTGGGCTCTATGACGCCAAGCACGCTCGGCTGTCGTCGTGGCAAGCGACGCAGGACGAGACGGCACCGCAACCCATCACGTTTGACGCCATCATGACCTTTGTGCTCGATGAGAAGCACACCTTTGTGGTCTGGGAGGCCGCGGTGAAAGGCCTTGTTGCCGAAGCCTTCACGGGCGGCAGCTGGTCCTTTGATATGACCAAGGAGCTTGCTGTGTGTCGCAAGATTGAAGACACGCTCCTCGCGACGAACGGCGAGGCGCGTGGGCCTGACGACGTGTCCTCGTCTGCGGGCCCGGCGCAGCGGGAGAAGCTCGACGCGCGCAAGGCCAAACGACTGCAAAAGCTTTCGAAAAAGGCCAAGTCGCGCCAGTAGCTGCATACTACAATCTCGCAGTATAGAACGAGGTTTCTAATCTGAGTTGAAGTTACAAGTTGCTCTGCGGCGTCTCGTCGGCATCGTAGACAACACCGAGCGACTGGCGCACCTTGTCCATGATGCGCGACAAGAGCAGCGACTCGGCGAGGGGATATTCAGCGCACTCGCGGTCGCCATTCTGAATGCAGCGCGAGACAGTCTCGGCTTCAAATTTAAAGCCGACTGAGCCGCCAAAGTTGAAGCTGCTCTTGGACGGCGCGGGAGTCGGGTGCGGGAACGACAGCTCGATCGGCGCTTGGCCGTGCAGCGTCAGCGTCAGCTTGTCGGCCACGTGCGCGGGGGCGTTGATGCGCAGCGTGCCCTTTGCACCAATGATGACGACCTCCTCGACAAAGTCGGCGAGACACGAGTACTGGATCGTGCCAAACCGGCTGCCTGCATACTGCAGCGTCACGACCGCATACGTGTCGATGCCCTCGTCGGCTGAAATGGCGCCGACCGTGTGCACGTGCGAGGGCTCTTCGCCACCGAAGACCATGGACACGAACGCGAGCGGGTAGATACCAATGTCGAGAAGGCCACCGCCGCCAAGCGACCGCTTCCAAATCCGGTCAGCGTTGGCAGGAAACGCAAAGCCCATGTCGGCCTTGACCGCATGCACAGCGCCAAGCACGTTCTCGGACAAGAGCTGGCGCGCGTGACGCACGGCCGGGAAGAAGCGCGTCCACATGGCTACATATCAAGCTTAGAACGGCAGAGCAATACGATCTGATTGTACCTTCCATGAGAAAGAGGTCCTTTTCCTTGGCGAGCGCGACCATCTCGTCGGCTTCGCGCTGGTTCATCGACATGGGCTTCTCGACGAGCACGTGCTTGTTGTGGCGCAGCGCGAGGAGCGTGTGCGGGTGGTGGAGCGTGTGCAGCGTGCCAACGTAGATGACGTCGACCTGCGGGTCGGCGCACAGTGCGTCGTACGAGTCGTAGCTCGTCGGAATCTCTATTTGTCATTGCAAAAGTGAGGCGCCAGTGGCGAAGTGGTTGGTCTACCGTGCGTGGCGGCAAAGGCTTGGGCAGTTGCGAGGCTGCGCGAGGCGCAGGCGACGACGCTGGCGCCGGGCACGAGCTGCAGGCCCATGACAAAGTCGTTGCAGATGCGGCCGCAGCCCAAGATGCCCCAGCGCGTTGTTTTCGTCGACGTCATTTCAATCCAATTGTCAAATGGCCACGTACCACAGTCCAACGTACGTTGAGGTGGGTCCCCCACTAGCGATGGTCACACACAACATATTTACACCCACCCCACCCCTACTCCACCTCCACAACCAATTATCACTGCAAAACCTGCAAAAGGATCGTACACATTCATTTGAAGCATGAGTGCCTTGGCATTTATAGTCCTCCGAGTGTGGTGCAGCCTGCCAATACCCTCACATGGCGACGTCCCCCCAACAAATTCAATTATGCATTTCTTGAAGTGCGTATATTTATATTTTGTATATGTAGAGTATACCAGCTCGGCTGGCGCAATGGATAGCGTATCAGACTTCGAATCTGGGGGTTGCGGGTTCGAGTCCCGCGTCGAGTACTTTTTGCCCTTTGGATTGTAAACAAACTCATATTAGCAACAGAAATTTTATACACAGGGCATCGTCGCCCAAGCTGATGTACCTGACACCGAAGCATGGATGGCTCGCATCAAGCGTTTCGAGAAAGCACATGAAAATGTTAAGTCCTATCAAGCGACGAGGTAGAGAAGGCCAAGCATGGCCGCGCCGCCCGCAATCCCACCGACGGCCGCGCCGACAAAAACGCCGAGCAAGGACCCCATGAGGAATGGCCACGTTCGGATCGTTGTCAAGCTCGGCAAGGCCAAGTGTTGCCTCGTACGTTTGGCAGCGGATCTCGGGCCACTCGATAGCGCCCGCCATTTGCACAATGTCCGCGAAACTGTCGAGGTATTGCTGGTTGTGCGAATTGTATCCGCCATTGGCATTCCCAACGCCGAGCCGAGTGGCCTCCGGATGCGCGAGAATCAAGTGCCGAAGGACATTGTGCATGTCGAGCACGTACGGCTGCGCAGCGTCGGCAACGCGGGCGCACTGTTGCACGAGTTCTCGTGAAAAGCAGACATCGTCGACGTCGGTGATACGCGTCGCCGTGAGGAGACCGTAGCTGCAGTTACCCGACGGTTTGTTGAGTTGGGTTGCCTCCAAAAGCTTGGCACGGAAGAGCGACTGGAGCCCGACAAGGCTTTGCCTTCCCAAATAATCAAGATAGAGGTCGGCGCTGCGGGT